ACATTCTTGTTAAATGCCAAAAAAAAACATGGTCTCAGTAACCCCTACAAAAAAAAAAAAAAAAAAAAAAGTTTCTCCTTACAACACATAAAAAATATATAGAATAAAGAACATAAAAAGTTTCTACATTGTCATTCACAAGGTTCAGTACAGTGTATGTACATGAAAAAAAAAAAGATATATTCTTCATTTGGATAAATTGTTTCTTCTTACAACAATAAAAAAATATATAGAAACAGCTAGACTGTTTGTGATGCCAAAAAAAAAAAAAAAATTCTAAAATATAGGAACATAAAATTTGCTACATTGTCATTGACAGGGTTCAGTACAGTGTATGTACATGACAACATATATTCATTTGTCTAAATTTAACGGTTTGTAATGCCAAGTAAAATATAAGTACTCCTAAAAAGAACCCTTAAGAAGAAAAGTCTAATTGTTATAATTTCTAAAAAAAAAAAAAAAAAAAAATTGCTACATTGTGATTGACAGGGTTCAGTACAGTGTATGTACGTGAAAAAGTCCAGGTTTCTCCCCATCTGCTGCATTCATTGTTTGTGATACCTGATAAAAAATACAGGTGCTCAGAAATCCTAAAAAAAAAAAAAAAAAAAAAACCTCAAAACAAAAATCTAAAAAATAAAGAACATTAAAATTTGCTACATTGTCATTGGAAAAAGTTCAGGACAGTGTATGTAAACTGGAAAATAGGAAATTATTCTTCCTTCAGCCACATTATTATTTGTTGTGCCCCATAAAATAAAAGGCACTCAGAAATCCCAAACAGGCAACCCTTCAAAATAAATATCTAAAAAAATAAGATATAAAAATGTAGCAATATTGTCATTGACAGGGTTCAGTACAGCATATGTACAAGAGAGGATTAAAAAAATCAAATATTCTTCATCAACTGCATTAACTGTTTGTGAAAATTCAGGTACTTAAATTTGTATTTTTATTTTAAGGGTTCCTTTTTTTTTTTTTTAATAGAATTTTTAACACATTTTATAAAACAAAAAGAAATTGTCTTCATTGTCATGAACAGGATAGAAAACATTTTTTTTGTTTTAATTATTATACAGGTTTATTATACAGGATTTGTATAGCGCCAACAGTTTGCACAGTGCTTTATGAAATTAAATGAACTCATGCCAACATTTCAAATATACTGGTATGTCTTTAAAAATACAAATCTACATTTTTGGAATGCATTTACAAATATATGTATTAATATATGTTAAATGTATTTATTTTTTTATATGTTAAAAAAATCTGAAGAATATATTTTTTAAAAATATATATATTTTGTAAAACAAAAATGACTTTTTTTTATGTTAAAAAAAATCTGAAGAATAGATTTTAAAAATATATATTTTTAAATAAATATATATTTTAAGATAAAAATTAATTTTTTTGTATGTTAAAAAAAATCTGAAGAATATATTTAAAAAATATATATGTTTAAAAATATATATTTTAAAATAAAAATGACTTTTTTATATATTGTTTTATATGTTAAAAAAAAAAAATCTGAAGAATATATTTTAAAAATATATAAGTTTAAAAATATATATTTTAAAATAAAAATTACTTTTTTATATGTTAAAAAAATCTGAAGAATATATTTAAAAAAATATATATTTTTAAATAAATATATATTTTAGGATAAAAATTACTTTTTTTGTATGTTAAAAAAAATCTGAAGAATATATTTTAAAAATATATATGTTTAAAAATATATATTTTAAAATAAAAATGACTTTTTTTTATATGTTTTATATGTTAAAAAAAAATCTGAAGAATATATTTTTAAAAATATATAAGTTTAAAAATATATATTTTAAAATAAAAAATTACTTTTTTATATGTTAAAAAAAATCTGAAGAATATATTTAAAAAATATATATTTTTAAATAAATATATATTTTAAAATAAAAATTACTTTTTTTGTATGTTAAAAAAAATCTGAAGAATAGATTTTAAAAATATATATGTTTAAAAATATATATTTTAAAATAAAAATTACTTTTTTTATATGTAAAAAAAAAAAAATCTGAATATATTTTAAAAATATATATTTTTAAAAATATACATTTTAAAATAAAAATTACTTTTTTATATGTAAAAAAAATATATATTTTTTTAAATATATTCTACAGATTTTTTTTTTAACATATAAAAAAAAAAAAAAAGTAATTTTAACATATATTTTTACATATATTTGTGAATGCATGTTAAAACAAATGATGGATCATTTTCTACTCCCATTGGCCGCTGTCCGGCCCCCCATGAAGTCTGCAGAACAGTGAACTGACCCCGTGTTTAGAAAGTTTGGAGACCCCCGATGGTAGTCATACATGCATTATTTTTATATATTATTGTAGCAAGCATTATATATCACATTCTGTGTAATTTCCTTTTATGTATCATTTTTAATTATTATTATTGTGAACTATTATATTTATATTCCGTGTGATTTAATTACTTGCCGACCCACCACAGTACCCTTCACCGCGGCGCCAGCTGCAGGCCTCGCAAAGTACTACTCCGTCGCTGCCTGTTTCCGGGATTGCGCCCCCCCCCCCCGCGACTTAACACATCAACATATCCTGGCCAGGACCTGCTGATCGGCTGTGTCCAATCACTTGTATTTGTAGGCGCTATAACTTTTCAATCAAACCAATATACACTTATTGGGTTGTTTTTTGTTTTTATTTGCTTGGGGGGGTTTTACCAAAAACATTTAGCAAAATAAAAAAAAAAGAAATTTTTTTTTATTGGATATGTTTTATAATAAAAAGTAGAAAATATTGACCTAAAATTTATGATTTTTTTTTAATTGGATATGTTTTAGAGTAAAATGTAGAAAATATTGTTTCCAAATCTATAATTTCTTTTCTTTTTTTTTTTTTTTTTATAATAAAAAAATAAAAAAACCCCAGCGGTGATCACATACCGCCAAAAGAAAGCTCTATTTGTGGGTAAACAAAATGTCATTTGGGGTACAGCGTTGCATGACCGAGCAATTGCTAGTTAAAGTAGCGCAGTGCTGAACAGGGAAAAAAAAATGGCCTGGTCATGAAGGGGGTAAAACCTTCCTGAGGTGAAGTGGTAAATTTATGCATGCATTATTTTTATGTGTTTTTTTTTTTAAAGTCCACTTTATATTATATTCTGTGTAATTTCCTTTATGAATGCATTACTTTTTATATATTATTGTAGTGAACTTTGTATTTGTGTGATTTATCATACATGTATCATATATGGGATGTTCAATTAAAAATAAAAAAATACTGCAAGATCTCGGAGCTGATTTTTATTTTTAAATTATTATTTTGATTTTGTATTATTATTAATAAAAATCAGTAGCAGCCAATCAGATCAGTTTCTTGCAATTGTGTGATTGATACATATACATGTATCATACATGGGCTGTTCAATTTGAAAAAAAAAAAAAAAAAAAATACTGCAAGTTCTCGGAGCTGATTTTAAATTATTATTATTTATTATTAATAATAATAAAAAAAAATCAATAGCAGCCAATCAGATCAGTTTCTTGCATTTGTGTGATTTTTTTAACCAGATTTCTGTGCAGGACAGACTGGGGAGCAACCAAGCAATAGTGTGGTGAGATGAAGTCTGTTACATGTATCGTATATGGGCTGTTCAATTAAAAAAAAAAATACTGCGGGGGGGGGGAAGCGTCCGGACCGGAAGGGGGGGGGGGGGAAAGCGTCCGGACCGGAAGGGGGGGGGGGAAGCGTCCGGACCGGAAGGGGGGGGAAAGCGTCCGGACCGGAAGGGGGGGGAAAAGCGTCCGGACCGGAAGGGGGGGGGGAAAGCGTCCGGACCGGAAGGGGGGGAAAGCGTCCGGACCGGAAGGGGGGGGGGAAAAGCGTCCGGACTGGAAGCGTCCGGACTGGAAGGGGGGGAAAGCGTCCGGACTGGAAGGGGGGGGGGGGAAGCGTCCGGACTGGAAGCATCCGGACTGGAAGGGGGGGGAAAGCGTCTGGACTGGAAGCCTCCGGACTGGAAGGGGGGGAAAGCGTCCGGGACTGGAAGGGGGGGGAGAGTCCGGACTGGAAGGGGGGGGGAGAGTCCGGACTGGAAGGGGGGGGGGGGAAGCGTCCAGACTGGAAGGGGGGGGGAAGCGTCCGGACTGGAAGGGGGGGGGGAAGCGTCCGGACTGGAAGGGGGGGGAAAAAGCGTCCGGACTGGAAGGGGGGGGAAAAGCGTCCGGACTGGAAGCGTCCGGACTGGAAGGGAGGGGGGAAGTGTCCGGACTGGAAGGGGGGGGGAAGTGTCCGGACTGGAAGCGTCCGGACTGGAAGGGGGGGGGGGAAGCGTCCGGACTGGAAGGGGGGGGGAGCATCCGGACTGGAAGGGGGGGGGAAAGCGTCCGGACTGGAAGGGGGGGGGGGAAGCGTCCGGACTGGAAGGGGGGGGGGAAAGCGTCCGGACTGGAAGGGGGGGGGGGGGAAAGCGTCCGGACTGGAAGGGGGGGGGAAAGCGTCCGGACTGGAAGGGGGGGAAAGCGTCCGGACTGGAAGGGGGGGGGGAAGCGTCCGGACTGGAAGGGGGGGGGGGAAAGCGTCCGGACCGGAAGGGGGGGGGGAAAGCGTCCGGACCGGAAGGGGGGGGGGGAAAGCGTCCGGACTGGAAGGGGGGGAGTGTCCGGACTGGAAGGGGGGGGGGGGAGCGTCCGGACTGGAAGGGGGGGGGGAGCGTCCGGACTGGAAGGGGGTGAAAGTGTCTGGACTGGAAGAGATTGAAATCACAAGAAACCAACAAATATTTGAAACAATTTAAATGAAGACCCTCAATGGCGGTCGCAGACTATTCGAGGGTCTGCTGTCCGAGGGTCTGCTGTCCGAGGGTCTGCTCTCCGAGGGTCTGCTCTCTGAGGTAGTTAGCTATCCGAGGGTCTGCTCTCCGAGGGTCTGCTCTCCGAGGGTCTGCTGTCCGAGGGTCTGCTCTCCGAGGGTCCCGCCTCCTTGGGTTCAGACACATTTCTGTTTATTTTGCTGTAACTGGTTCCAATAGTATATCATTTCCCCCGGACTGAATTCGTGAGACGTCACAATCTTGCTGTATTCACAGTCTGAGTAGACCACCTTCCAGGGGTTGAAGTCGGTGTCCTTTGGTGGGGCCTCCGGCAGAACCCCCAACTTGTCGAGACAAAGGCCAACAAAGGCGTCCTCCAGATGGATCCATCTGATGGCTGGGGAGACTTTGACGATCTTGGTTGCCAGGTCTCCAGAGAAGGCGTAGCCGGTCCCGGAGCAAAACAACGGATAACTGTCCTCGGGGTATTCTTCGGGAGGAACGTACCACTTGCTGTCCAGATTCCGGATCGGCGTTCCGTTGATCATCATATATCCAGTGAAGTAGTTTACTCTCGGGGGCTCGTCTGGTTTCAAGACACGGTAGACTAGATGTTCGGTGTTGACGAACATGTCGCTGTCCGTTTTCATGACGTATGAGGCGTTCGGGCAGTATGTGGAAATCCAGTTGAACCCGTTGATGACCTTTGTGCTCAGGTTATAGTAGGTGTCCAAATAATCCTGCTGAATGATGTCGTGAAATGTCTGACTTTCCTCAACAAGAGACCTCTGCCCGTCCTCAGTCCACCCTTGGTCCTTGCCTACAATGAACAGCCGCAGTACCTTGACTCCGGGTAGAAAGTCCTCCTTCCCCCACGTCTGTCGAATGGCCTGCCGAGCTTGCTTCCTCCAACATTCCACGGTGATGAGAAGAATAAGGAATGGAGCGCCATCTTTACATTTATCGGGCTCATTGATGACGTAATCGTACGTATGAACCCTTTTCTGAGAGTCTTTGCTGGACTTGGTCTCCAGTGAAGAATTCGCCATCAGAAGCTGTGTATTTATAGAGGAGATGTGGTTCTCCACCACTTGCATGTTGACTTGAACCCTACTAGACAGATTGGCCAGGGCGTTTTGTATTTTCAAGGTGGAAATGACTATCTTCCCAGGGAGCCACCTTATGTTACTGAAGATGAGCACCATCAACGTAAAAAGGATCAGGACCAGAAACAAGAGGCGGGTGACCCTCCACTTAGTGCCGGAATAGCAGATGAGCCGTACCAAGGAAAACATGATTGACTCTTCACAAGGGCTTCATATTTCCAAACATTTTCAGCTCCGTGTTGGTTTGCGTTTTTGCCGCGGGTGTCTTTGCAGCATCTTCACTTCCTGGAGGAACGTTCTAGAAAAAATTAAAGGAGAATGTGAAACCAAGCTGAAAATTTTATGGAAAGCTCCTACCACCCCACCCATACCAGACATAGTCATGCCTACACCGCCATGAACTCGGCACCTCCTTCCCATCCCATAATGTCCATACTGCTGGCCCATGGGGCCTGCACAGCCCCTGATGAAGCTGCCCTTGGGCTGCACTGTGTAGATGTGGCATGAGCGTGGACAGGTAAGTAGACATGTGTGCGGTTCATTTCGTTCCGAATCGAAATTCGGACAAAAAATTTTTGAATTCCAAGATTCAAATGTATCCAAATTTCCGAATGAAAATATTAAATTTTAAATGAATCCAAAATAATGAAATGAAAGATCGTCCAAAATTTAAATCAAATTCAATATCAAGTGTTTATTTTTCGAAAACAAATTTGAAATATAAAAAATTGCTGACTATTCTTGATTTCCTCCAAAGACTGTGTGTATTAGTGTCTTCCGAAATTCGAATTTCGAAAAGTATGGAATAGAATAAAATGGAAATTAATAAATATTTATAATAATAAAAAAAAAAAGAATAAAATGGAATAGAATAGAAAATAAAAAGGAATAGAATAAAAAGAAAATACAACAGAATAAATATAGCCGTCTTCCAAAATGTGAATTTTAAAAGGAATACAATTAAACAGAATAGAGTAGAAACAGGATAGAATAGAAAAGAATAAAAATAGAAAATAAAGGAATAAAATAGAACATAATAAAAAAGAAATAAAAACAGGAAATAATGGAATAGAATAGAATAGAATGAAAATATGGTAACCATCCTCTGAAATTTGAATTTCGAATAGAATAGAACCAACTATTTCTCTAAAATGAATTTGGATCAATTCAATATTTTTATTTGAATTCGATTCAAATTTGAATCAAATCCATTGGAAAAATTCTAATTTGGTCGAAAATGAATAAACGACGCGAAACAAAACACTTTTTTTTTTTTCTGCACATGTCTACAGGTAAGTATAGGTGTTAGCGTGCAGTTAATTCAGACATGGGTGCAACAAACCATTGTCATATATTATACTGGGGTTAGTCATTTTGATGGTATACGCTTCTATAATTTAGTGTTCTACGCAGCTTAGCTCCGGCTCCCCTGATGAATGGCAAGAGAAGGGCTGGAACTCCACAGTAATCAGCAGCTGCCAGCTGGCTTTCTGTAAGGGACTGAGTCTGAGAGGAACACTGGAAGGAGCAGCAGGTAAGCTGCTGCACTGGCCCCAGACATTCGGCATCTTCCTCTCTTCTTTCTTCCTCCACCTCAGTGGTGCGCTACATACAGAGTTCAGTGGTGCGCTACATACAGAGTTCAGTGGTGCGCTACATACAGAGCGCAGGGTTCAGTGATGTGCTACATACAGAGTGCAGAGCTCAGTGGAGTGCTACATACAGAGTACAGAGTTCAGTAGTGTGCTACATACAGAGTGCAGAGCTCAGTGGTGCGCTACATATAGAGTGCAGAGCTCAGTGGTGTACTACATACAGAGTGCAGGGTTCAGTGGTGTGCTACATACAGAGTGCAGGGTTCAGTGGTGTGCTACATACAGAGTGCAGGGTTCAGTGGTGCGCTACATACAGAGTGCAGGGTTCAGTGGTGCGCTACATACAGAGTGCAGGGTTTAGTGGTGCGCTACATACAGAGTGCAGGGTTCAGTGGTGTGCTACATACAGAGTGCAGGGTTCAGTGGTGTGCTACATACAGAGTTCAGGAGTGCGCTGTTTACAGAATGCAGAGGTCAGTGGTGCGCTATGTAGCAAGTGCAGGGTTCAGTGGTGCGCTACATACAGAGTGCAGAGCTCAGTGGTGCGCTACATACAGAGTGCAGAGCTCAGTGGTGCGCACATGTACATACAGAGTGCAGAGCAGAGTCAGTGGTGCGCTACATACAGAGTGAATGGTTCAGGAGTGTGCTACATACAGAGTGTAGAGCTCAGTGGTGCACTACAAACAGAGAGTTCAGGAGTGCGCTGTTTACAGAGTGCAGAGTTCAGTGGTGCGCTACATACAGAGTGCAGAGTTCAGTGGTGCGCTACATACAGAGTGCAGAGCTCAGTGGTGCACTACATACAGAGCGCAGAGCTCAGTGGTGCACTACATACAGAGTGCAGAGCTCAGTGGTGCACTACATACAGAGTACAAAGTTTAGGAGTGCGCTGTTTACAGAGTGCAGGGTTTAGGAGTGTGCTATGCACAGTATACTGGTCTCCACCTCTCACACTAGGTGCGAGGGCCACATGAAATGGTCTCGGACCTTGTGTTTGACACGTGTGTTCTAACCCTTCGCCTCTCCATCAAAATACACGCGTGTTGTGTGATCGCCTTGGTCAGCTCAGAGCTGAAAAGGTCACGTCCCGCTTTATATTTTTAGCTCAATGACTGCCGGAGGTAACAAAGCAATTTCCTCAGCCTTGCCGGTATTCACGCAACATTTACCCGAGGTGATATGACGAGGCGGTCGATATTTACACGTCTAGGGCACATGTAGGCAACCCTGGAGAGCTGGAGATCTGCAAGAACAACATGGAAGAGATCAGGAATCATCAGAGTGCAGGGCGCTACAAAAAACAAGAACGTCGCAAAGCCCCATTAAAAAGAAAGGCAGGGCAGAGAGCGGGGGTCAGTAGCAATGCAGAATCCAGGGGTCAGAAGTATGTAATGGAAAGTACTATAAAACAATAGATAGGGGGCGCCCCAGCCGAGCGCGCACTACTTTCCCATACACTTCATTAACAAATAAAAGCAAGTAATATACTCACAAAGGCATCAACAGGCGTATCAAATACCCAACACGTGACTGTCGCCAGATCCGCTTGTACCACGGGAAGACCCTTCAGGGTCCAATACGGCTAACACGTTTTGAGGGTCAGCCCTTCTTCCTTGTTGGCTATGGGGAAGGGGGGCTGCATCTTCGAATTGTCAGCCATATTGGACTCTGAAGGGTCTTCCCCTGCTAAGGGTTGCGGATCTGGTGACAACATCTTGAGTATTTGATATGCCTGTTGACACTTTGGGGTTTATTTACAAAAAGCTGGAGGGTGCAAAAGCAAGGTCACGCCTGCAGAGAAGAAACCAATCCCATTAAAACCATCAACATGGAGATGACCCCTCCCTCCTTAGTGGTTCTAACATCCCTCCGCTCTTCTGGGAAGGCGTTCCACAAGATTCTGTAGTGTGGTTTTGGGAATATGGCTCATTTGTCAGGTCAGGTACTGATGATGGACGACAAGACCTGGCTCAGTTTTGGCCTTCCAACTCATCCCTCAGGCATTCAGTGCGTAGTCAACTGGGTCTGGTTTATTATGGATACAAGCTGTTTTTCTCTAGAACTGGAACTCTTTATTATACGGATATTGATCTTGTCCGCTATATTAGGAGACTATATCTAGAATTCATCCACCAGCATTTGGGATTGACTATTATTCATGTGTTGGGGTCATGCTGCTTTTCTCTAGAACCCCCCACGTTGGTTCTAATATGCTCCGCTCTTCTTTTGAAGGCTTTCCATGAGCTTCTGGAGGGTGTCTGTGAGAATTTGGATCATTTGTGAGGTCATGTGTAGATGTTGGGTGAGAAGACCTGGCTTGGTATCAGCGTTCCAGCTCATCTCAAAAGTTTTCAGTTGGGTTGAGGTCACGGCTCTGTGCAGGACACCTACGTTCCTCCACTCCACACCAAAGTTCTTTATGGAGCGAACTTTGGAGCACAATCATAAAAAGTTTCATCGGCAAGGTGAAACCGTTCGTAAAATGGTCAATCTCCATTGTATGACCTGCTTTGCCTTGCTTTGGAGGCTTTGCAAGAATAACATGCTTTAAATTCATAGATCTACTGGCTTGCTGCTGTCTTTATTATTGCAACCTGTGGTTAGTTTTATCTATGAGATGTGGAGTGTGATTCTAGACTACGTAGTCATCTGGATCTGGTTTAATATTGTGGATCATAAATAAACAGGCTTTCAACTTGGTGGATCTACTGACTTCCCGTTCTCTTTGAACCTGTGGTTCATGTGTCCTTGAGATGACAGTGTGGAGTGTGAGTCTAAACTGTATAGCCAACTGGGTCTGGTTTAATATTGTGGATACAAGCTGCTTTTCTCTAGAACCCCCCTTCATGGTGGTTGTATCATCCTTCGCTCTTCTGGGAAGGATTTGCACAAGATTTTGGAGGGTGTCTGAGGGAATTTGTGCCCATTTGTGATGTCAGGCAGGATGCTGGTTGAGAAGACCTGGCTTGCAACCGTTGTTCCTGTTCATCCCATTCAGTAGGGCTGAGGGTCAGAACCCTGTGGAGGACGCCCATGTTCCTCCACACCAGACTTTGGATTAGACTTTGGAGCACACAGTCATAAAAGGCTTCCACAACAAGATTAAAAAAAGTTCATAAAATGGAAAATCCTTTTTATGACCTGCTGTGTAATCTTTACAAGGGTCATAAACTAACATACCTTCAACTTGGTGGATCTACTGGCTTGCTGTCTTTTTTTTTTTCCCAGCCAGAGGTTCATTTATTCATGAAATGAGAGTGTGGAGCATGATTCTAGATTACATAATCAAATAGACCTGGTTTAATATTGTGGATACAAGCTGCTTTCTTTTAGAACTCCTTGTTA